GTTGCCACCCTAATGGAGGGAGAAAAGGCTCCCTCTTATAGACAATCTCTCTTGTAAAGCTTTCCAAACAAGCTAGTTAAGAGGGAGATCCCTCCATACACGTGTATGGAGGGGAGCAAAGTGTATGCCTGCTAGCATAGCTAGCATAAAAATATCTGCAAAAGCAGATGAACAGTGGTCGGCCAGCCAAAAATGCAATTTGACCAAAATAGATGGCCGGTCGACCATCTAGAGTGCCGGTCGGCCAAACATTTGGACGATGGTAACAAAACACAGCCGGTGGCCTCAAGCCATGGCCAGTGGGGTGTGGGGATGGCCAACAAGCCATTCCCTGCCCTCCAAAGCAAAAACACAAGTGTTTGGTGCAAACCCAAACACAAAACAGTCGAGTCGAGAGATCCTGAGGCAAGGCGCGTAGTCGAGACCTCCGGGAACTCAAGAGGAACACAAACAAGGATGATCACCGAGTGTTCAATCGGTGACGTCTAAGTCTTGAGGACGGTCAAAAATGGGGTGTCTACCAGAGGCAATCAAGAAGTTTGGTAGGAATAACCAAACCCTTAGCTCTATGTTGGCCGGAATAACCAACACTTAGCTCTCCTAAGCCGAGATAAGGATATCTGGGCTGCAGGAAGTTGGCAAGTTTGACCAACAAGTCTTTGCCCGACTTGGGGGGCAATCAAGAAGTTTGGCAGGAATAACCAAACGCTTAGCTCTATGTTGGCCGGAATAACTAACATTTAGCTCTCCTAAGCTGAGATAAGGATCTAGGCTGAAGAGTGGTTAGCTGGAATAACCAACTTTTGGTACTCTTCAGCTGAGATAAGGATCTAGGCTAAAGAGTGGTTGGCAGGTATAAGTAGATTGCAAGGTTGAGATCGAGATTGGTATCTCGGAAAGAAATTGTTATATTTCATACGAGTTATAGTTGAATAATGGATGCAGGTATAAACCGAACAAAAAGATGAGAAAATGGAAGATTTCATTCAAAACTGAAGATTTCATTCCCAAAGTGCATTACAAAAGGAGGGGCCATAGCCCGATTACAAAAGCTTCCAAAGTTAGCATCCAAAGAAAAGAAAGTACATGGTCATGCAAAGAGGTCATCTAAATCGGCGTCTAATTCAGCCCTGGCTTCACCTAAAGGTAGCTCGGTTATGGCAAGCACACTTTGGTTGAGCTCGGTCGAAGGCACCGCATCAGACACAACAGGCAAGGGGGATGGAGACCACTGGAGTTGGAGAGATGGACTGGCGACCGAGTTGGGCATTGTTATCAGGCTCTTGGGATGCATCACCTTCCTCAGCTTGAAGAAATTTTTGCTGAATGGCATTTGCATAATCCACCATGGAGCTCGGTATAAAATATGGAGGAGGGTTTAAGAAGACCTCGGTCTCTTGGCTATGACCGAGTTGCGCCACAGCTGCTTTCCACCCACACTTGAAGAAGAGGTCGTTGGCAGCCTCACATTGCAAGATATAGGTACTTGTCTTTCCGTTCGACCAGGGCCTTTTGCTTATCTACTTCTGTTTATTTGACTAGCTCGGTAAAGCAGACAATTTCGATCTGAAGTTCGGTTGTCTTTTGTTGGGCCTCTTCAGTATCACGGTTGAGCGTGAAAAGGTGTGCCTGGCCAACCTAGTCAATCTGCAAAGTGAAAAGGAAAAATATTAAGCACGGATCGTTGGACCGTGCTAAAAGAAACAAAGGCGAAATAAATGGAGTCCTCTCTCGGCTAAGTGGAACGAGGGATTCGTAGCCCGATTGAAGCTTATGGTGCGGCATTCTTAGTTCAGTTTTGACTAAGTCAGGGAGTTGGTTTCGCCCCAAGTTATTGCTCGGTTGAAGGGCTGAAGTTTTTAGCTCGGCTGTTAACAGGTAATCCCAAATCATGCTACGCAGATGGAATTAAGGGGCAATTGAGAGGGTAACTTGTGTAGCCAAATTGGGCTGAGCTAGGTTGGAGTGGCGGTCAAAGATGTTTTTAGGACCTATCTACGGGACCTAGCTACAGAACCAAGCTGTTGGACCTAGCTACAGGACCTAGCTACGAGACCGAGCTACAAGACCTAGCTACGGGACCAAGTTATTGGACCTAGCTACGCGGCCTATCTATGAGACCTAGCCACGGGACTTAGCTACTTCCTAGTGGCGGTCAACGCTATGGCCGAGCTACCAAGCAAGGTAGTCAAACGGAGAGAAGAGCTGAAGTAACTTGGTTGACCGCAATGTTAGCTGAGGTAAAGATATCAGCCGAGGTAAAGGGTCAACCAAGGTAAAGGTGTCAGCCGCGGTAAAAAGAGCTTAGTAACTAGATCGCAAGCGTTAGCTCGGTCGAAGTGTAATGCCAGTCACCACGGTCGGAGTGGAGTTAGTTAGCTCGGTCCAAGTGTAATGACGGTCACCACGGTCGGAGTGGAGTTAGTTAGCTCGGTCCAAGTGTAATGACGGTCACTGTGGTCGTAGCGCGCCATAGTTAGCTTGGTCGTAATATTTGGAGCCAAGGTACAATGGCTTCCCATGGTGGACCTCGCTTTGGTTAGCGTGGTCTTAGCGCGCCATAGTTAGTTCGGTCCAAGTATGAAAATGGATTGGCAAGTGTTACCACGGTCCAAGTGTGATTAAAGTCACCAGATGGAGTAAATGTAGTTATCTCAGTCATGGTATTTAGAACCAAGGTATTTGGGCTTCTTGCGGTGGACCTAGCTATCGTTAGCTTGGTCGAGGGTTTACTATGGTTAGCACGGTAGTAAGTAAACTCCATAGTTGGAGTATGTCAAACCGAGGTACACGCAGTGAAAGGAAGAACCAAGCTAGCTAGAGCTCGGTCTAGTCTGCGGCTTTAGCATGGTCATGTTAGCTCGGTCGTATTGACATCCAACTGTGGTAAAACCATCTCACTTGGTTTAAGCAGTGAGGGGGGTGTTAAAGGATAAGCATTATCTTTTAGGAATGTGATTCCTATGAGGACTCTATATGGCGGAGTAAGAGTCCTACTTGGATTGTGCCACGCGGAACGTATAAAAGCTCATAACATCACCTATGGAGAGGTAACACAACTTTGATTCCCAAACACACAGAGCTTTTTGTCTATTTATCTATTTTGCTGACTCAGGCATCAGAGAGGTATCCGGCACACACCCGCTAGCTACCTCCCGTTTGTGTTTTCAGGGAGTAAAGCGACGACGTACGGATGAGCGCAGACTTGATCAACAGGATTATACGGGAAGAATATTTCGTGCCCGTACAATTTAGAAATTATAAAATATTTATTAAATGGATGAATGGGATATGTTTGAAATGGTTGACAAATGGCTAATTCAATGTTTTTACATAAATGAGTGACTATACTAAAAAATAGCTTAAATTTGACAGCCACTAAACCGATTAAACAGCACCAAACTGAACCGTTTCAATTGGTGCGGTTTAGTGCAGTTTGATGAGAGAAGTGATCTATATCAGTGTTCAAAATAATAAACTCAACATTGTTAGTTCTGTAGAAAATTTTACTTGAATATCGACCGTACCGATCTGATTACCGGACAAAATTGATTAGATCTCTATCCATGTGGATTGGGTCATGTGCGATTTATCCCCTAATGTCTAGAAATGACCACATAACCCCCTTATAGTTTGTGGACTGAAGTGTACCGTTAGATCCGTCAACGATTTAATAAAAAAGACTAAAATATCCCTGTATTTTCATCATTTATTTGGAAGGTAAAGTATACTTCAACCCTTTGTACTTTATTTTATATGCAATTTACCCCATTGAAATTTGAAAATAAATAAATAACCCCCTTAGTCTGTCACGTGTTTCACATTTACTATTAAATTAGACAGAATGTTTAACGGTACACTTCAGTTCATAAATTACGTGGGAATTTTATCTGGTAATTTCTAAACATTAAAGGTGTAAACTGCACATGGACCAAATCATAAGGATAAAATGAAGCTTGCTCTTGTTTCTTTTTTCTCTCTCCCTCTTTTTATTTCTTCTCTTTTTCTTTTTATTTTGATTTCATTTTATTTTAAAATATATAAGTTTTAATACATAAATTTAATTTTTATAAAGTTAGTATGGTTAAAAAAATATTGTGCATATTTTTAAATGTGGCTAATATTAAATATATAAATTTTAAATTTTAAAATAAATAGAAAATATATTTAAAAAAAAACTACATGGCTAAGTTGAGATAGACGACTGAAATTGGTAAAATTACTTAAACAAAAAGGATCTGTTTGGTAACCATTCTGTTTTAAGCTTTTAGTTTATTTTTACAAAATTTTAAAAAACTGTTATAAAAACTTGTTTGATAATTTTTTTTTTGATTTATAAATGATTGTCTCAGTTTATAAATTTGAGAAAAAAAACGTAAACTCAAAAAATGAGTTTACGTTTTCAGTTTTCAATTTTTTGTTTCAAATAATTTTTTTTTCAATTGTTTTTTTCGATTAATTTTTTTTTTCAAATAATTATTTTTTTCAATTAATTTTTTAATTTTTATTTTTTTTCAAATATTTTTTTTTTCAATTAATTTTTTTTTGCAATTATTTTTAATTAATTTTTTTCTAATTATAATGTATGTGATCCCATTGTCATAAATAATAAAAATAAATATAAATATTTAGGCCTGAACAAATATATTTTTTAGTTTATGTTTTTTAATTTTTTTTAAACATTTTGTTCAAACCAAACGCGTTTATAATTTATGTTTTTCTAAAAATAAACAAAAATCAGTTTATAAAATTTTTGTAAATATAAACAAAAAACATAAACATTACCAAACGCTACCAAAATGTTATTTAAGTCTTCAAATGAAAATGTAGAGATTAAAAGCAATATAGTTAGGCTCAGTGTAGATGAAAAGAAATAAATTAATAATTAACCAAGCGAATAAAATGAAATAAATAAAGAAAAATCATGTTCATATGATTTTCACCTTTTTAGAATAAAACTAATTTTTATAAGTATCTCTTATATTTTGCAACCCCTTTATCTTTGCCATCTGCCACTACTTGTTCTATCCTTCCCCGCCACCTCCACCACATTCACCTTTTGTCGTCCACACACTCTACTCTATCCCCATACACTTTCTTGCACTCTTGCTTTCTATCTCTATGTCAATATCTCTCTCCCTTCTCTCTACTCCCATCTCTCTACATTCAAGTTTTTAACTCAAGATCAGAGTTATTTTAAGTTTGATTTTTACATTTGGTTTGTGAAGGAAAGTTGTCAAGCTCGTCAAGTACATCAATCCTACTAGTGGAGGTTTTTGTTTTGGCAGGTTTGGTGATTTTGGTTTTTCAATTTCTCTCATTTTTTAGGTAGAAGATTCTCTTCTCATCTATATGTTATTATATCTTTTAGTTCATTCCATTCTTATACATTGTACTTTTCCGTGTTAGGATTAGATTTTTGTTTTAATTGGCACGTTTCTCATATGTATTGTGTAGTTTTGTGCTTAAGAGCATAATAGAGCATGCTATGGTTTTAATTAAAGTTTGGAACACTTCGGTAGAAAATTTCATAGTTTTGGAGAATTTAGGGTTTTGTTAGAAATCTCGAACAATATCATTGTTGTTGCGATTATTATTGAAATACATATTAGTGTCATGAAAAACATTGTTTATCACTATTTATGAGAACTTATTGAAAAATTGTTTATCACCACTTATGAGTAATTTTTGGAATGGTGTTTATAACTCTTTATGAGGAAGTATTGAACATTATTGTTTATCACTCTCTATGAGGTATGATTTGGAACATTGTTTATCATTCTATTTGTACCAAAAATGGCAATTTGGCGTAAAAAATAAAGAAGTGCCATTTGGAGCTTGAACTTTGAGGAATTACCTCATATATTGTGGAATTAAATTCTTCTAACCGTAGAGAAGGCCAATCAACAATCACCAAACATTCCTGCAAGCTTAAAAGCCCTATTGGCAAGTTTGCAAAGCCTTATAAAAATCTAGAAGATCTTGCATGTAACGCCCCCAACTTTTGGGTCGGCAATAAATTAAATAAACCTCAAATTTATAATTTCACAAAACTAATAACATCAAATGAACAAATTTGTCTCCAAAAATAATTTATGCAATTATCTCCGAAAATGTTATCAAAGTGGTACACCTCAAAATCTCTAACTCAAGAAATCCTTTAAATGCTCCAACCCTAATCGCCACAGAATTTGCTCTGCACCTAAAAAATAAATTAACTCCGGAAGTATACAATATGACAAGAATAACAAGGCTCAGATATAGAATAAATTAATAGGGATCCAATAATTTATAACATTGCACAAACGATTCGAGTCGATAATCAAGCAACTTACCAAATTGCATAAACAAATCAACTTAACATATGATAACTTATCTAGGATCAAATACCTAGTCCTACTCGATACATGACTAGTGACTAGCTTCACCCACCTCACTTAAGTACAACCGCTTATCGGGGCATATTGGTGGAAGTTATTGGCAGGGTTCATTCGATCCATATACCAAGTATTTTCATGTCATTTAGTCAGACAAATAAACATTGTCCATAAAAAATAACTCTACAAAATTTTATTAATAGACCAAAATAATCAAACATATTAACATAAAATCATTTTACAGAATTTATCAAATGATCACAATAATCAAGAGGCTTACAAATTGAAGGTAATTAAAATAATTATTTACAAAGATATTTAAAGGACACATATTGTATACGACCTAATTATCTTAAAATAATCTCCTACGTCACCAACACTTTAATCATTTCACATTGCTCGATAGACATCAAAAAATGGAGGATTAAAATTTTGTGATAAAAGGTATATAATATTTGACAAAATCTGTAACTTTTCTCTTTTGTAAAATTACTAATTCTCACTTTAAATATTTCTAAACTAAACTCAAAGTTTCTATTATAAGAATATAAGTGAGAAAGAATACAAATATGAGAGAGAGAGAGAGAGAGAGAGAGATGAAACGGAGAGAGGCGGAGAGAAGACCGAAGCATAGAAGGGATGAAAGAATGAGCAAACTTTGCTCAATTTAAACCAAGGAAATTTGGGGGCAAAGGAAAAAGAAATAAAAACAGGGAGATGGGAGAAGGGTGGGGGTATGGTCATGGCAGTGGGCAGTAGGCAGCAAGCCCACGTTTCGTCTTTTTATTTTTATTTGTTGTTGTTGTTGTTGTTGTTGTTGTTGTTGTTTTGCTTTGCCTTCTTTTACTACAATTTGAGCAAAGTGTGCTCATTTTCTCATCCTTCTCTTTCATCTCTAATACCAAATTATCAAATTTCATATTTTTAAAGTATTAATTATTTTAATAAAAGATATTGGTGGTTTATTATAATAGTTTGGTAGTGAAATTTTTAGATGAGAACCATATTTTTGTATTACATTGTTTCCATGACTATTCTATTCTATTTATACATGGTATGAGATAAGCATAGATACTAATAATGATAAGGATAGAATCATGGATGTATATCTGTGATATATATTTGATATGGGAAGCATATCTCAACAGCCCCCCTTAAGAGAAACATTCCAATGAGCGAATTTGCAGCTTGTCCCAAAAAAAATGAAAGGATTGGGAAGGTAACCCTTTAGTAAAAATATCGGCGATCTGATCTTTGGTAGAGATAAATTGAAGTTGGAGATCCTTACGAGCAACCTTGTCCCGGACAAAACGAAAATCAATTTCAACATATTTGGTCCGCGCATGGAAGACCAGATTGGCAGACAAGTAGGTGGTGCCAAGATTATCACACTAGAGAATTGGGGGAGGGGATAACCGAATGCCAAGTTCAGTGAGTAAAGATTATAGCCAAGAAATTTCAGCAGAAGCATCAGCTAAAGCTTTATATTCAGACTCGGTAGAGGATCATGCCACTGTCCGTTGCTTGCGAGAAGACCATGAAATTAGATTAGCACCAAGATAGACTACATAACCACCAGTGGACTTGCGATCATCAATAAAACCAGCCCAATTGGCATAAGAAAATATGTGAAGACGGGTAGAAGAAGTGTGTTGAAGTAAGAGACCATAATGAGAGGCATCTTTGAGGTACCAAAGGATCCGTTTCACAACCCGTCAATGGTTTTCGGTGGGAGAGTGTATAAATTGGCACACTCGGTTGACGGAGAAGGAAATGTCCGGGCGAGTAAGAGTAAGATATTGCAAGGATCCGACCACCATATGATAACGGGAAGGGTCCTTCATAGGAGTGCCAGTTGCTGAAGTGAGCTTGGTGGTAGCAGCAAAAGGTTTGAACGGGTGTAGACACCCCATTTTTGACCGTCCTCAAGACTTGGACATCATCATTTGAACACTCGATGATCATTCATGCCTGTGTTCGTTTTAAGTTCTTGGAGGCCTCGGTTGCATGCCTTGCCTCAAGATCTCTCAACTTGTTTGTCTTGTGTTTGGTTGTGGACCAAACACTTGTGTTTTTTGCTTTTGAGGGAAGAGGGTGGCTTGTTTTCCATCCCCTCAACCCATCGGCCAAGGCTTGTAGCCATCGGCCTTGTTTTCTTGCCATCGGCCAAAAGTGTTGGCCGATCGGCACATTATTTGGTCGGCCGACACTTATGTTAGTCAATCAGCGATGTTTTCTGGCTGAACCCTGTTCATCTGCTTTATGCAGATATTTTATGCCAGTTGTGGCATGCACAATTCACCCCCTCTATAATGTGTATGGAGGAATTTGCCCCTTTGCTTAGCTTCCTCAAGAAGTTTTGCTTTTGGTTCTCTATAAGAGAGAACCATCTCCTCCCTCCTCAAGGGTTCAGAAAATTAAGTCTTGAGGGATAGATATACTTTTGTATCTATTCTTCTTTGTTTAGCCTTGTTTTGTACTCAAAAGTGTAGTATTGTCTTACTATTATACACAAACACACACTAGAACACCATCCTCTTGGAGCTGAGGTCCCTTGAGGTTGATTTCAGAGTTCTTGGGTTGGTTTAAACTCAGAAAACCTACTGGAGCTTTGTTCTTGAAGAGGTTCTATAATGGTGAGCATTCTTGCTTTTAATACCCCATTCTTGCTTATGCTTTTAGCCCTTCTTGCTTATTGTTTTAAGCTTAGTTCTTAACTGATAAAAGTTCTATTTTTTTATGCTTTAAATCTTTGGTTAAGGTCTCTTTTTGGTTTGGGGTTGTTTACCCCCTCCAAGGCCTTGTTAGGTCTTGTTTTAGGCCATCCCTTTTGACCCTTGTTCTTAGCTTTGCATGACCTTTCTACCACTAAAATCCAAAGGATTTTCAGTCCTGGAAAGGTGGTTTTGAGGTCTTAAATAGAGGAGGGTCATCCCCTCTCCTTGTTATCTTGTATGCTAGTATAAATGGCTTATATTGGTAGCATGTTTGCTTGGCCTGTTTTAGCTTCATTTCAGTATATATTAGGCTTTGTTTTGCCATGATATTACACTATTTTGACTTGGTTTGGACATATCATGCATGCTTCATGTACTTGCCTTGCAATCCTTTCATTTGCCTTAACATGCATCATGCTTTAAGCCATGTTTCTAGCATGATTTTGGCTCGACTCCATGAAGCTTTTAGCCTTGTTGTAACATGCTTAAGCTCTGATTTAAGTTGTTTTTACCATATATCCCATGCTTTGTATAGCCATAAGGCATTCTAGCTTGTTAGCCTTAAGTGTCCAAGGCACTAGCATGCTTTACTTGGCTCATTTCAATGATTTGGCATCATTTGTTATGTTATTTCAGTCCATGTTTCATGCTCATATACTTGCAATTACCATTCATTTAATGCTTTAAAGAGTTGGTGTTTTATGCCTCAAGAATGGACCATTGTGTATGCCTCCATGCTTAGGTCTTTGGGATGCCATCTAAGTGGGTTTTAGGGGTTATTTTGCCATGATATAACTCTGATTTTTATTGCTTAACTCATGCTATGTTTGGTTTTGATAGGTGTAGTGTAACACCCTTTTTGTGGCCTTGCATGCCTCATGCTTTTGGTCCTTCACTCTAGCTTATTTTGGCTTTGGTCCTTGCATGTTTTAGGCTCATTTTGACATGATCTAGGACTGCTTTGGATTATACTTGCCATTTGCTTCATGTTTGGCATGGCCACGGTTTGAGTCCCTTAGCTAGTTCCAAGCTTTGGGCTTTCTTGCATACTATGCTTGCATTATTTAGTTGGTTTGGCACCTCTCCATGCATGATTTCAGAGCTTACCATGTATGCCACATGTCCATGTTTGTCCTCTTTTAAGTGTTCTTGAAAGTTGCTCTCCTATGCTTAGGTGATAGGCAATTGGCATGC